GAGAACAGAACTATTTTACTTGCGTTAGACAAAATATGACAATTTATCCTCACGGCGATAAATATTCAGATTCTGATCTTCTGCAGTGTGACGCCATGCAGTCTGGTAGACAGATACTACAGAAGTGTGTTTAAATATTGCTTCGGAGGTTGGTGGCATCTACCGTCCTGATTTGAGCGCGGCAAGGCATGTAATTCGGTGCGCCAACACAGAAGGCATTACGATACAGCACCGAGCGGGCTGACTACGGGTTTTGTGAGGATTAACGAGTGAACAAGCTTAGTCGAGATTTCATAGGCTGAATGATGTTTCGTGCCCCTTCGCAGAAGGAGCTCAGTGTTGTTACCAGAAACTGGGGATCGCAGGGCATTTATATTGTCGGCCCGCATCCAGCGTGTTTATCATGGGCATGCTGCTCGGCTATCAGGTTAGAACAATTTAGCTGCTTCCAGTCACGACAGGCACACTTCAAATTGGCGCCTGTCTCCTTCCGAATCCATTCATCATTCTTGTCCACTTACCCATCTCATTATCCATGTTAATAAATTATGTGATAACGCGATCGCACGTATTTTAATGTGTATACCCATTGCTGGACAACGGCGAAACACTTTCCCGCTTAGGCGCGTGACAACACTGCATCCATTGCTAGGCAATGTATCGGTGAACACGCTTAGTCAGCAAGCAAATTTTCTGTGGATACGGTGTTCTCAGTGTGTTTTCTGTGCGTGGTCGGTGCCGAAGGTTTATAGGGGCAACACAGGTCGTTTGCAGTCGGTCATAGAACGATAAGCAGAGTGGAGAGAGACCTCAGTGGTCAAGGAAGAAGGGTTCGGCTGAAAGTTGTTTGTGAGCTGTTATAATTGATTTAATTTTAATAGAAGTGCCAATTAATCCAATCATCCATTTCAGAACCCGCTATTGTTCGTTACGTAATTCCCGAATACGTGACAGTATTAACTCTTAAGTGGCGCAACTTTATTGCAATTTTAATTTCTAATTTCATATTCTTAAATTTAAAAATTAACTCCCTATTGAATTTTTATTCGTTATTATTGCTTTCGTAAAATATTGAGTGTCTAAGTGGTCACAATTTTAATCTTGTTGCGATTCTGAAAGCTTTTCCTCACCTTCCTCCATTTTACGTCACTTCAACTTGAGCACCCATTGTTACTTGCAGAATGTCCATCCGATATTCAAACGACCTGAAACTGACGCATGCGCACAATCATATGCGCTCCACACAATAAGTATTGTACGTAAAACTTTGATATTTCCGCTGTCAGAAGGTGAACCCCAAACTCACGTGGCTCTGTTTATTTCATGTACACGAAAGTTCAAATGTGTGCACGCATTCTTAGTCATACTGTATATATCTACGTGTATATAAAGCCAAGAGGAGCCTAATCCTGTATAGTGCGTCATTCTAGATGTTTCAGGAAGGAAGTGAGTGGAAACAGTAACAAATATATACGAGTATGAGTCTTATGAATAAGTATGGGACGCGCCTAACTTTGCTCATATCTGAAGCTGTTATAATCTATGTGTATTCGAGGATATTAAAGATCAAGATATTAGTTATACAAAACACGATACTGACGCAATATCTTGAACATGACGATGTTTATAGAGATAAAGGTATAGTTGTCCTTGTGCTTAACTAACGAAACAGTACACCAGGAAGATGTATGGGGGAATGGAGGTACACACCTAAGTTCTCGTTAACTGCGGCACTGGTTGAAGACTAGTGGTCAGCTTTACGCCCCGGCTGCTTTATAAGAAGGACAGTTTCAGGTTAAATTTTAAGGCGGCCGCACACCGACTGCGTTAAGACAAGCATCAAGACATGAGACAAAAGACGCAGTCTTGCTTCATTTGTGATTCGTCAGAATGAAGCTGACGTCAGCATCATGACTCAGAGAAGTGTGTGGTGATTTTCGTAATCTAATTCGTTTCAACTGTGCTCCTTTCTTTGCGTCATGTCGCAGACATCGTGTCTTGACTCTTACATGTCTTGACGCATGCTGGTGTGCTGCCTACCTAAAAGGCCCACAAACTTCCTCTCATGTTATACTTCGATATTGCTTTTATTGAATTTACTGCAATCCGATTTTAAGACTTAGATATTATTGAAACAGTATTTCTGTGTCGTGGTCCCTTGATTAGCACTGTGCTACAAGCCTGAGGGGTCGCGGGTTCGATTCCCGATGAGGCCATTAGATTTTTCAATTCACCTAATCCTTGTAGCTGCACTATAATCCTGGGGTCGACTTATCTCTAACAGAAATGCGTATCAAGAATATTCCTGGGGGTAAAGGACGGCCGGCGCGTAAGGCTGACAATCTCACCGCCATCTGTGAGCCAGTTATCTAGAAAATGTGGGAGCATCGACGTCTCACGAACGTATGGATCTCAATGGCCTGTTACAGGGAAAGTTTTATACCTTTTTACACAGATATGTATGCTAAATTTAAAAAAATAACACAGTGATTAATTTCCATTTCTGGGCCGATAACAGGGGTAAAGTAAACTCGAATTCAGAGGGCAGGTTCTGGGAAAAGCTTGTGAGGTTCACCTTTTCCAGACTTTTCAGTTAGGATAAAAAGAACTGTATGGAAATATTTAATGTAGTGAAACGTATGTTTGTGTGTATGTATGTATGTTATAGCAGCAGTTTCCACCTGTCCATGATAGGACCATGATAGGCACTCTGCTACAGCGCCAGAGCTCAAGCGGTTAGGCGCTGGCTTCCCACCGCGGTGGCCCGGGTTCGATCCCGGAGTCTGGTCAAGTGGGATTTGTGGTGGATAAAGTGGCGCTGGGGGGGGGGGTTCTCAGAGTACTTCCGATTCCCCTGCCAATCTTCATTCCACCAAATTCTCCATCATCATAATCCCCCGGGGCACGTACAATAGGCCAATCAGTGGCCACCCTGCCGAGTGGACCCAGGTGGACTCCACCCACCACTAAGTGAATTAAAAAGAATATTATCATGAGAATATTTCATGTCAGATTCGTATGTACGTTTATGATTCTTCTCCACCAAAATATCCACACAGCCAGCTCTCATGGCCATGAAGTCTGAAGCTAAATGTACATTTCTCATGGCCGTCATGATATCCTCTGGCATTAGTAAAGGACCTTGTGAGAAGCTGCTTATCCTTCGAGCATCTCTCTTACTCTACAGACATTAAGGACTCCGCTTTAGCTGCCTTTGGTGTCGCTTTCTACCTTCAAAGTTAATACAGACGCCATGTTGATGTTTCTAGTAATAGTGAATTACAGAGTACAGACCTCAGGAAGCATGACATCCATACCAGGTTTAATGAATTCCGTCAGTAGGTTGAAATGTTACGAATTCCGACGAAGGCATTATCCATAAATAAAAATGATAGATTAAGAAAGCTAGTTTTTTCCTGTGATTACAAAATAAACTTTGCTGCGAATGGAACGAGCCTAGCAAGCAGAAATCACGTATTTGGAATATGGGAACATCGACGGTAATATTGATGGGAAAAGTCCTCGCCTATAGGATTTGTAACGGATTCTGAGGAGTGAACTTGGAGAAATATTCGTTGCGAATTTCTGAAACTAGAGCAGCAGTAGTAGTAGTAGTAGTAGTAGTAGTAGTAGTAGTAGTAGTAGTAGTAGTAGTAGTAGTAGTAGTAGTAGTGGTGGTAGTGGAAGCAACAACAGCACACTTCACACACTAGCAGACTAGCAGGTAAGTAGGGACAAACATCCAATCAGAAAAGTTGAAGAAACGCTGACTGCGGTACTCAAAATGCATACAACAAGAACGCCTCATCACCGAAAAGAGAGAAGTGCCCACGAGTAGGTGACGCAGAAATTTTAAAGAAACAGGCTAGTGTAGAAAGAATTCATCTTTCTGAGCCTTCAGTTAAGGATACCTTAAAATAAAAAGCTATCTCTGGAGGCCCATAGGTTCGTGAGACGTCGAGGCTCTCACGTTTTCTAGACAATCGGCTCATTGATGGCGGTTAGGTTGTCAGGTTTACGCGCTGGACGCCCTGTATCCCCAAGGAATATTCCTGGTACTCATTTCTGTTAGAGGCTGAGCGAACCCCAGGGCCATAGTGAGGCTGGAAAGAAAAATCCAATCTCATCGGGAATCGAGCCTGGGATCTTCCGGCTTGTAGCATAGTTCACCCATAAAGATATCTGAAACTGAGAAACACCTACAGTAGAGGATTCCATAACACCAATAGGGCTGCAATGTAAAGACGAAACATAGAGACGTAAGAAAAGGGGTAACAGGGAAGGGAGATGTAAGTGTCGAGAGATGATAGATCAGAAGTGGAAAATCTGTTGTCCGCGGGCCAACAGCAACCCTCGAGAAATGCAGTTCCGCCCTGTGGCCGTACTTAGATAGCATATGCCAAGATTGTAAACAATATGGAGAAGCTGTGCAGAGGTAGAGGTGTCCCGTGTTCACTGAGCACCGTGCAATTGTGATGTATGTAGAACTGAAATGTGGTTTTGTTTCCAGTTTCAGCCGCGACGGCTTCAAATTAAACAAAATGCAGTAGAAAGGAACCTACTACATTGTAGGAATTTGGCCGTCAACACAATAAAAATAAGCCAATCAAATTGCTCACATCGGTTTTATCTGATAGTTGCTACATATTTCGGTCCACAGTTGGGAGGCCATCTTCAGGCACTCATCAAATACGTCACATGTTATCGAACTGTGTTAATGAATCCATATTAGAGCTTACTTACTTACTCATGGAGCTGAGCCGTTCTTGAGGAGCCGCCAGTTCTGCAGCTACTCAAGAATTTCCCAGCATTTTATGGAACCCGAAGGTTTATCACCGTGTTCACAAGAGCCCTCCACTGGTCCCTATCCTGAGCCAAGTCTATCCAATCCATACCATCCCATCCTATCTCTCTAGAGCTATTCATCACAATTATGCAACCGTCATTTTGTAATTTGTAAAATTTGTAAAAATTGACAAAATGTGAAATTTTGACATCCTTAGTTAGTAAGTAAGTAGACTTACATTTTAATATACCATAGACTTAACAGAAACGCCATATGCATATTCTGTGTCACTTTGTTTCCCGAAACTTCCGACTTCAGAGCGTGTACATTCATTGAGATTGTGATATTTTAAGGGTTGCGACAGGTGAGAGTTTTCTGTGGAAGACCTAGTTACAGCTGTGAACTGTCAGAATTTTCCCGTGGAATAGTTACACGAGTGTCCCTTGCGCACGAATTACCGCGCTCCTAGCCACAGGGCAGTGCTTACTGAGGCGCAGCCTCCTGATGCACAGTCAGCCTGCCAGTCGAATTGTGTCGCGCCGAGAAAGACGTCATCATGCGGTTTGCAGCTGCGGGTCTCCTGGAAAGAAGGAGATTTTAATGAAGAATGTAAAGTGGGTTCTTGTACTGGGGGGATTAAAAGATTACCCCACATAGCATTAAATGAGCAGGGCAGCTTTAATTTTATAATTAACTTCTTTGAATCCATTCATCTTTTCACTTTTGCAATGCATTTTTTTAGTGCAACAGACTTTCGCTTAAGTTCTTTTATTATATGATCAGACTGCTATACACTTTCACCTAGGTCATACAGCGTTTTCTAGGCACGAAAATACATGAGCGCTGATGTATGTGTTCACAGAGGAAAGGAAACGCTGATGTATGTGTTCACAGAGGAAAGGAAACGCTGATGTATGTGTTCACAGAGGAAAGGAAACGCTGATGTATGTGTTCACAGAGGAAAGGAAACGCTGATGTATGTGTTCACAGAGGAAAGGAAACGCTGATATATGTGTTCACAGAGGAAAGGAAATGCATTTACACTCGTACCTCATGCGAATATTCGAATATTAAGTGGAAGGCTTCCATATAACCTCGCAATCAGCCCTACACAGGTTCAGGACTTTTAACTGTCATGACGCCTAAAATGTTCATGATAACGCCGAGAATTTCCATTACGTCCAGCGCGTCATCCGCTACACATGACGGGGAAAATAATTTATTTTCTTTCCTTTATCCCCTTCTTAACTCTATCCTTTTCACTTCTCCCTTATTGATTCTCTATCCTCTTCGTTTGTCCTTTTTCCCGACTTTTCTACTCTTCTTTCTTTCTCTCTCTTCCTCTCCTTCATGTTGAAACAATTCTTCACCACTGTTCATTCATCCCTGCCTCCCTTTATCTCCCTTCCTTTTTTCCCGTTGCTTTTGTTTTTCCACTCTACCCTCGTTTCTCTTCCCGTATCCTAACATCGGCAGAAGAGAGTTCGCTCTTTTCCCGATCGTAGCGGCGACGCTTTGTGCGTTTCACAGGCGTGAGTGGAGCTCACTGCTCTTCGTATGTACGCGTTTCAATTGTCTCCTTTGTAACAGAAGCGAGAAAATTTCTCGCCCGATCTATGCTGTTTGATATTCTGACTGCACCTTCCTGACTGGAGAGCCCAGGTTTGCTGGAAATGTACGCAGGCGCGCTCGTGCCTTCTGAAACTTTTATTCCAAGCATATATCGATATAGTTTATATTTAAGAAACTGCAACAAAAATGAAATTCCCTTCCTTCATTAAACGTAACGGTCAATTCCTTAAGTCTGTTTTGTTGTGTTTTGTCTGTGTGAACTTATAAACTTGCTTCCCGGAAGGACATATGATAAAATTCAGGCGCCCAGAAGTACTTTTCTATAAGAAAAATGTAACAATAACAATTGAGAACTCAACGGAACATCCCATGATTTCTTATCTAATATTTCGCATTTATGATTTTCTCAGCTTTTTTTTTTTTGTAGTCGTTTCGAGTTTGCAGGTTATCGAATGATACGTTGAGGCCCACATTTAACGCCAACGCTAACAAATAACAAACACAAATAACCTCCTTTATGTAACATCACACATTTTACGCGTCCATATTGAAGTGTTATCAATATTCACAAAATAGACACGATAACATTTAGCAAGGGATTCTTCATACATAGCTTTAGTGCAACATGTTAACGCACCGAGATTCGTTGTTTTTGTAAACAGAATGCGTAAACGCGTTGATAAATATTATATTTAAGCATCCTGTTGCACCAGTATATCAATTATTTAATATAATATATATTTCCGTGTCTAATGCAATTCTTCATCGATGACATGTTTCGGCTTTACATGGCCATCATGAGGTGTCTATCGCTATGTTAAACTGTTGCACTGTACTGCATGTCACAACCACGCGTGGCCAGTTATTGGTACTCCTTAATTAAAATTACAAATTAAATTTAAAAATTCATTTTAAAACAGGTCAACCGTATTAAATTTAATAAAAACAGTTAATTCCAGTCTCCTTATGGGACCTATTAGCTCGTATCTGCCAGTAGATGGTAGCTGTATGCACACACCGGCTAAACATGAATGCCAGTACACAAGCTGGGCGATGGGCCTACAGCCAAAGAGACATCTACAAGAGAATCAACATTCAAACCAGCACCCACGAACTACACGAACACACACGCACACACGCCGCCCAAAATTGCGCCTATAGGTCCCATAAAATGACTGGAATTATCCGGTTTTCACTCACTCACTCGTGGAGCTGAGCCATTCTGGAGGAGACGCCAATTCTGCAGCTACTCAACAACTTCCCAAAGTTTTAGGTTCACTACCTTGTTCATAAGAGCCCTTCACTGGTCCATATCCTGAGCCACATCAGTCCATACCATCCCATCCTATCCCTCTAAGATCCATTTTAATGTTGACCACCCACCCACGCCTTGGTCTTCCCAGTTGTCTCTTTCTTTCTGGCTTACCCACCAATGTCTTATACTTTAACATAAGGAACATCCTCCCGAAGTCTGGCACATTCCTCCTGGGACACTCTGTATATGTATTCTTCTTCTCCCTCATTCGTACTACAACGCCACTGCCCTAAGCTAACCTGCCCTGTACATACTGCTAACATTCCTGGTACCAAATATCGTTATTAAATTTAATGATTGGCCTATTTTAAAAATAATTTTTATTTAATTGTAATTTTAATATTAATGAGTCCCCATAACCAGCCACATGCAATTGTGACATACAGTAGAGTACGAACAGTTTAGCATGCCGACAAACACCTCATGATGACCATGTATGGCCGAAACATGTTTTGAATAAAGAATTACAATGAATATAAACTTTATTGCATTAGTGACGGAAATATATATCGTATGTCATAACGTTGACAAATGTCAAACTTACGAAACTATTTATGCACATACATGTATTGAAAGATGTATACGATTCACAGACTGTACACATAGCAGCGATTTAACTGTATTTAGAATTTCTCTTTGTGAAGGTAAAAGGTAAATTTGTCCCTGTGACATCATGAAACTATGTAGAATAGTGGAAACAGGGCTTCACTATTGATATCTTCCGAACGGGATAAAGGTGAGTCGACACCTTCGCGCTCCTGCTCCCCTACTCTAGGGGAAACAGCCCCCAGTACCACCTGGAAAGGGACCTGACTGCTTCATGCTGGTTTCTTGCTCGGATTACTCTTCAACCCTGAAGATGGAGGCGACATTTCTCTCTGAAACGATGAACAGCTGCCAACGGAATACCCCAGAAGATAGAACTCTTTAAATCTCTTTCTAATTACAAGTCGGATGTAGCATGCTCCGAAACGACAATTAATTTTTACCAGTCTCTATACAGTCACATTCCAAAAGGCTTTAACTTCCAACGTCAAGAGATCTTGCAGAAGCCTCTGGAATCGATATTAATTCTTGGTGAGACTGTGTGCGAGATCGAGTTGATGGCCTCATATCGATAGTTGCACGTTCGACCTTTATTTCGTAATCTCACGTTCCCCATCGGAAGTTTGCTCGTTTCTCTTCCTGCCCTGTTGCACAGAACTTGTGCAAACGGGGCTCTTGCGTGTTAACGGTAGTTTTATCATCATTAAAATCTCATGTTCTTATTTGCTTTTCTGTTTTAGGAAACATAAGAGTTCGTATCAAGTTCTGTATATTAATTGCAGTACGTAGGGAGGGAGGAGTTATTATTATTATTAAATTAAAGAACACAGTGGCCGCGTGGTCGCCCCCTCGAACACTACGACCTTGAGTTCGAATCCCGCTAAAGACACTGATATCTGTGTGCGTTTATTGTGTTTGTGTTGTTCTGTGTATAGGTAGAAACATTAAGACGGGCTGATCCCCCGTCCAAGGAGTCATACCGATTGTCTAAGATTAAGAAACTGAAGTGAAACAGCTTTCCACGGATGGCCTATGCTCCAAATTTGGAGCAGCATAAATAAAAATAGAAGGACTATTGCATTATCTGGTCTGGTGGAAATAAATAAAACGTCTGTTTATAACACAGTCCGTCAATAATGCAACAAATTGTTCCTTTTCTTCCAGTTACACTTCTAACACAACATGTTTCGGCCTTAGGTGGCCATCTTCAGGTGTCTTAATGTATTAAAACAGCTACACCACATTAATATGCGCAAAAGTCAAACGCTGTAGTCCACTTAACATAATAAAATAAAATCCATTAAAATTTTCTATTAAAATATTTTAATTACTTATTGTAGAATAAGTGAGGTGGTAGAGAGTTTTACAATAAGTAATGAAAATATTTTAATAGAAAATTTTAATGGAGTTTATTAGAATAAGACATCAGTTAACATAAAGCTTTATTCTGGTTGAATTGATATAGAGAAAGAGTAGTGGTTCTAATTTTGACGAAATGCCGAAAATCTGATACACTATTAATAAATGTAATATTGTGACATATACATGTATATTTACATATATATATACATGTATATATATGCATATTTACACAAAATACAATTCACTAGTTTAAGAATAAATTACTAGTGTATATATGCCTGTTGATGTAGCAAGACACCAATGAAACCAATAAATTCTTTATACACAGTTAATGTGAATGAGATTTTGAGAGTTGTTGTGTTGTGACAGATAAGCAAACAAAATTAGTATATTTTCATTACAGAATGTCGAATGGTTCGATGATCGATGAACGTGGGCTTGTCAAAGAATTTTGAACGAAGGAGTTGTCTAATAGAAATTGTATTCCAGAATTTACTTGGAGGGGCTGGGGAAAATCACGATGTATCTCAGTAGTACAGGTGGTGACGCGACCGAAACTCGATCCGAGCATTTCCAGAATGTAAGTTTAGATCGGTGACGTCATATAAAATTTCTCGGCACGTGATGTAGGTCTTAACGAAACACATTTGAACCTGCAACTGCTATTCATGGCATTTTTCCATACGGAACAATCTAGCTTAATCATATAAAGGGGCGTTTTATGTATTTTGCAGTGTAAGCAGTTTTATAATGAGTTTTGTCCAAGTTAAATTTATAACAGTTCAAATTAAGTACGCTAATTCGCACAAGAACCTGTTTGTAAAACATGTGATCTCCACTGGAGTAGAACTGTCCGCTCCTCAACAAAGTCGAGCTGAGCAAATGAAGTGACTAGTGCATGTGTTGCAGGTGGCGACCGGTGCAGGCACAATATCCCATTACTTCAATCTGCACGTAGTGGTACCGTCTGCATTCATCCTCGGCAGCGGAGAGTACCACATCGGAGAGGGCAGCACCATCAGCCTTGTGTGTATAATAGAGAATGTAAGTACGCATGCGCATAAGTGTGAAAACAGAATGAGAGCAAATGTGTACAGGTGCGTGGGTGTGCAATTGTGTCATATATAAAACTTGAATATTCATATGTACAATTGTGTAATATACCACCTAAGTACACATGTGTACAAGTGTGTAATATAGTACGTAAGTACCCATATGTACATGTGTGTAGTATAGAACCTAGGTACACATGTGTACATATGTGTAATATAGAAAGTAATTACACGTGTACAAGTGTGTAATATAGAACATGAGTACTCACATGTACGTGTGGACTACAAACAATAGCATGTAAAATTCAAAGTTCATAAAATATTGTGTAAGATTTGAGGCTTTCACGGCGGTGACTATGAAGAATGCAGTCTTCTGGGATTTGGCACCGTGTATATGTGGTGTTATCCACATATACACGGTGCCAAATCCCAGAAGACTGCATTCTTCATAAAATATTGTTTGAGATGCACTCAATTTTAAAAGAGGAAGAAACATGTTTGTTTCTTACCTTTCATCACACCAGGGAACGGCAAACACAAATTAAGAGGCATAAATACAGAGCCCAAATAAACAAACTTCGTGGTCTTTAGTCCGCAAGCGAACTATACCGACCGAGTGATCGGCGCTTGTCGGTGAAGTTATTGCCAAATTTTGCGGATAGAGGGTGTTACGTGGTCAGCGCAGCGGATTCCCACGGCCGTTAATCTAGGGTTTCTAGACCGGACCCGCTACTTTTCCATTGAAGTAGCTCCTCAATTATGCTCACGAGGCTGAGTGTTCCCCGTTTCACACCCACTACTTCACAGAAAATCTGGTAGCGCCGGGAATCGAAACGGGACCTCGGGATCGGTAGCCAGGAGTTCTGACCACTAGACCGCAGAGGCCGTCCAGACAGTTTTTAGATAGTGAAAAATAAAGAACGTAACTTTGCCGTGAACTGTTAAGTCAAATGGCATACCAATTGGACGTATGTATTTAGCTTTGCATATTAGTGACAGAAAATGTACAATTTTAAAACGGACAAGGGAAATGAATGTAAACAACATATATGCAAAAAAATATCTGGTAAACTTGTTCTTGTTTTGACATGGATGGAATATCCCCATATGTTACTAGAGGTACAGTCATGTATACGCGGTGGGTTTGTTGCACGAAAACTTTGCGTAAAAACGAAAACTCATAAATCAAAGACACGTTACATGAACACATTCTAAAAACGGGAGTAATGATCTTAGACATATATTTTGATACGAAGGAGTCATTAATAATTTTTACCACTATTTAATAGTTAAATAATCTGTAAAATATAATGAATCGTTTAAACAGAATATAACTTACAATTTTAAATTAAGGCATATTATATCACATGTAAATAAGATCCAAAAGTTTGTGACGATGGTACATTGCTACAAGTATCATGTTTTTTGACACTGTCTGTATTTAAAAACCGTCCTGTTTATTTTCCAAAAGTCAACGTTTCGGAGACTGGATTTTGTCTCGGTCTTCAGGTAAACCCTACTGTTTGGCCCAACCAATAGAGCTAGTCTCCGAAGATAGGGACTAGCTCTATCTGTTCGGCCCAACTGAGTAGGTTTTACCTGAAGGAGGAGACATAATCTGAGGACAACCTCAAGCCAGTGAGGAAACAGAACCTACGCTGATATGTGACGTAGCAGAATGTCGTATTCTTTTCCTCTTTCCTGTTGTCTTGCTCATCGGCCTGTTATTTATTTTCTCTTTTCACATCTCCTTTGATGTTCTTCTTTTCTCATCTGAGCTCAGTTTTCTTCTCCTTCTTGTACTCGTCTTTCATTCCGTTATTCTTTTCCCCATAATTCCTTATTTATTCTCCACCCCTCCGCCTCTGTACCCTGATCCGTGAAGTTGTGTTCGTGGGCTGAAACGGATAAAAAATCCTTCTGCTGAAGGCGTCTGATTCGAGACGCAGCCACAACAAGAAAAGCCGATTTAGTTCCATTCATGTGCATGGAAATATGTATTGTTGGTTTGCGTTCTTCTGGCTCTGTGTACAGCCCCCCCCCCGCACCCTCTGCTGTTACTTGCCTTCCTCCATGGAGTACATTCCTATCTGCTTTATTGAACCCGAGCTTTAGGCGCTTGTGCACATGCATTGTGTACGTTCAGCATACATAGTTATAAGAACTGTTAGTTACTTCTTCGACATATTTTACGCAGCTGAAGTGGTTCGTTTGGTGGTAACTCTGTAGACTTGTATTCAGGAGGTCGTCGCATCGACTTTCAGTCGTACATTCCCTATTGTGACCGATGTTTTTTGTGGTTTCCCTCGGCCTTTGCACTCAAGTTCCCTCACAGTAACTCAATTAGGCCACGCCTACAGACGTTTATATTTTTCCCAAATTAACATTCATGAATCTTTCTGCAAATTAACGCTACGTATTGTGGGATATATATCGTCGTTAAATAATTTCAGCATAATTTTCGTTAGTCATTTACATTATAACGGAATTTATTTTATCTCTTTTTCTTCACCCCTTCATGGGATTAGGCACTTAGCCCTTTCCAGCTCAGAATTGTTAGGAGTTATGTATTGTTATGCGTTTTGTAGGACGTCGTGGACTGGTGATCGCAAGGATTCTGCCTGCATACAACACAGACACTGAAATACTACGGACATTTAAGCGTCCCGCGAGTTATGTTCGAGAGCAGCATCGCAGTGCTGGAGCGGCCGAGGACAGTATGTACCTTACTGCCATCTGCTGTTACTCTTCTGCGGTTATAAGACAAAATATGTAAAGGTATCCCTGTAACAGTCCGTGGAGCCCCATAGGGTTGTGAGACGTCGAGGCTCCCACATTATCTAGCAAATAATTTCGCAGATAGTGGTGATATCAGCCTTAAGCACCGGCCGCTCTTCACCCTCAGGAAGATTTCTGGTACTCACTTCTGTCAGAGGCTGAGTCGACCCCAAAGCCTTTTTGCGGCTAGAAGGATTAGGTCAATTAACAAAACCAATGAACTATTCGGGAATTGAAGCCGCGACATTCCTGCTTGTAGCATAGTGGACAGCAACGAAATACTTTTTTTTTTTCCTTGGCACTACAGCCCCAGTGGGCCTAGGCCTACCTCCATGAACTACGTTCACTTCGGTTTTTCTCGATCTTACACATACGGTAGGACTCCTTGGGCGAGTGATCAGCTCGTCGCAAGGTCTCTACCTGTACACAAACATCCATGCCCTGAGTGGGATTCGAACCCTCGATCCCGGCTTCCGAGCGAGCGAAGACAATACATGCCTTAGACCGCTCGGCTACGGTGACCGGCCAGCAACGGACTTACTGAAGTTAATTTAGTGTTATGAGGGAGCACCTTAGGTTGATAGGCTTGGATACGCATGTCAGTGTGGCATGTAGTTACGCTATATTTAAACGGATCATAGACGGGACATGTGTCGTAAGTAGAAAGTTTGGAAAATACTTCAGTATATCTCCGGATTTGTAGGCGAGCTTAGTGGAACAGTAGTGTGTTACACCGGTAAGAGATATCGACACAGAATCGGCGGCTTCTAAGGACCACTGATGCTGTTCGTGTTGTCTGTTTATCGATCCCATTCGTCTCTTCTCCTTAAATCAGCTGCGTTGTAGTTCACATCGTGGTAGCGTTATAATTAATCACGAAGTGAAGAAGGTGTACTGAGTGCTTGAGGTTCGTTGTACGTCGCAAAAATATCATGCAGGGATAGAATGAACCCTGTCGGGACCTGCGTTGCTATGAGGCGTACAGAAACAGTACCTCTTGTTCAGCAAGCCACGATACTGAAGCTGAAATATTCTATATCTTACCTCACAAGGTAACCCAGTTAAGGTTCGGCCACACAGAACGCTAAGCTATGTTCGCTACGTACGCTGTGTACACTCTGCGACATAGCTAACATAGGGAACATAGCGTACGTAGCGTACGGAAGTCTGTGTGACCAGTCACATTGGTAATAAAGGGAGATATTTTTCTGGTCGTATAGCGAACATAGCGTACGTAGCATGCGTCGCGTACGTAGAGCTCTGTGTGGCCGAACCTCAACTGTCTTGTACTATACTTGGCGGTACTGTTTCTTGTGGTTTTGTTTTACACTTCTGTTTGTCTATCTGGCCATCTGTCTATCTGTCTAGTAATTTTGTTGAACCTTGGCCGCTTTTTCAGTTTCCTGATCCTAAACACAGTCTGTAGGACTCCTTGCACGGGGGATCAGTCCATCGCAAGGCTGCTACCTACACACAGGACAACACAAACACAGAATAAACGCACACAGACATCTATGCCTCGAGTGGGATTCGAAACCATGATCCCAGTGTTCGAGCGGGCCAAGAAGTTTCATGCCTTAGACCGTACGGCCATTGTGATCGGTGCTTGTGTCAGTAGCTATGCTATATAGTGCTGAGTAGCGGGATGATTTCGAAAGTATTTGAAAGGAAACGGTCTCTGACTTAATCAGACCATTATCGTGGAATTTTTCTGGAGAGTCTGAGGAAAACCATAAGCGTCAGTCAGGCTAGTCTCTGTCACGGCCGAGGTTCGGAAAATGCACCTCATGATTATGAGGTTATATCATATTATATATGATTATATAAGTACAGAAATATATTTCGACTAACGAACAGCCTCCATGAGATTTAACGGGTTAAGTACAGGTTATCACGTAAGCTAAGTTCATTGTTCCTTTCGCGTGATCTCATAAATATTGTCAGGTGAATATATTGACACGTAACATATTAACTGCAAAATTAAAACACAAACAGAGAGTAATTGAACACAAACACCCACGACTGAAATGGGATTCTTAGCCTGGATCCCAGTGTTTGAGCGGGGCAAGATGTATCGTGACTTATACAGCGCGGCCACTGTAATCGGTTCGAGACCAGTATAACTCTCTCAAATGTCTACATTGTTTATATTCTAGTCTTGTTTCAATAGTTCCGCATGTCATTACATATATAGGGTGTCCCAGGAGAGAAGGT